GACAGCTGTCGGTTGGCTATAGAGTTACCCGACGTCAGAATAACGATGTGGATCGCTGTGTTTGGCCAATCAGAATACGTTTGAAGTACAACCGGTATGTACTAATAGACAATGTACAAATCTAGTACACGAGACTGAGAATGTCTTTAGCTTGTGCTCACGTGAATGACCTACATTTTTGGTTTTAAACTACCCGGTACAGCAAACTGCTATACACTATGACGGCAGTCAAATACACACAATGCTCTATTCACAGAACTACACACGCCCTTAATAAACTATCGATACTGATGGTACCCGTATTGATTTTTTTCTTGTGTCTCAGCTGATTCAATAAAGAAAACGGACTGGGTACAATAGTAAGCCATAAGCTTGGCCACCGAGGGAATTTTCTTGTGTTCTCGGGTTATTTCAGTGATAAGATAAAAACACGAGAGGCCTGTTAGAATTTTTTTTCTTCTATTGGACTCAAATCATGTACACTGGTTGTCTGAAATTAAAAGCGCTGAAGATGCACACCTGAAGCGTTAGTTTACAATGTCTCGGCCTCTGTAAGGTACTGTACAGGAAGCCACGCATGTTAGTCTAAAACAGTCGGGTCGAATTCCCACCACCCGACTAGAGGTAAAGTATGATATTGAATGACCTTGATGTAAATATGTCCGAGCCCAGAATTCATGCATCCTGTAACGGTTCGATTTGTCGTGTCTCGATTTGGCCTTTTAAGCATTTATGCACTAGATAACATACACAATACTGGTGGTACACAAGTCCTATTCTTTATTTACTCCATACAACTACTGACCAATAATTCGTTGTAAGCGTGTTCGTTGTAAACGTGTTTTACTGTACATAGCTAGAGAGTACCAAAATGGGAAAATACCAGCCAATGTCTTCTGTATATTTTTTTTATTTATTGTCCCAAAATTGAGCAGAGGATTAGGCACAAGTTATTTCAACTTATGACCGCCTTTTCCTCTAATACCATACATGATAATATTTACATGATAACATTAACAAGGCATACATAATATATTTAACATTTAGTACATTTTACTTAAAATCTGTTGCTGGATTTGATAAAAAAAAATGCACGTGTCTGAATACATCTGTATTGGTAGTCAGGGACAGATTTTCATTTCCAAATAAAAATATATTTAAATTCACTTGATCTATATTCAACACGTTTATACCTTGAAAAAGCGTTATTCTTACTCTATTATAATGCTTACATTCTAGGAAAAAATTACCAACATCCTCACAGTAATGTCCACAAGCACACGATGGGTTGTCAACAATCTTAACACGGAACAAATCACTTTTCAAAGAGCTGCACTGATGTCCGAGTCTCGTATGTAATGTATTTAGATCACGTTCGCCAAAATTATAATAAGATGGGGGACAAGAATTAACATCATTAGATAAAGAAGATTTAAAAGCATTCAAAGATGGTAATGTTCTTATTGAACTGTCTAGCGAATTCCACAGACGTAAACTTGATGGCAGAAAAGAAGGGTTACTTAGGGAGAGTCTGAAAGAAGGAATGATATAATCATGTTGGTTCCGTAAATTATACTGATTGTTGTAACCCACTGTGTTTGGCAAAAGGGCCGATAAATAAGAAGGGGTTAAATTATTTATCATTTTGTATAATACGTTTAACTTACGTGTTCTCCTTCTCTCTGACAATGTTTCCAATCCCGTTTCAAAATATAGTGATTCATTAATAGCATACGAAGGTTAACCTGTTGTAACTTCTGTATAGTTTCCCAACTCCCTTAGCTCCTCCACAGTTGTCAGTACATTTTCACGCACACACACACATACACACACACACACACACAACATAAACACATACACAAAATACCCACGAAAACCACCACCTGGTATCCGGTTTGGTTTTTCTTGATGAATTTCTTTAACATTGAAGGATGAGCAGGATTTATACGGTGAGGCAGTTTACCCTCAGGAACTTGTATCACAACGCTCTTCTTCAAACATCCAGATATTTAATCGTCATGAACAGGTTATCACGAAGTTAAATATGGCAAACATTTTTGGTTTTCAATAGATAAAAGTTACTGAAGACTGAAATATTTTATGGTCGTCATAATGATCTCACAGGAAATATATATAGCGCGTTACGACGATGGAAAAGGCGCTTGTCCGTTGAGAATTCAACTATTTCTCTTTATGCTGTTTCAAGTGTTTCCATGTAAATATTTACTCATAATTTGCGCTCGTTTCATTTTATTGACATAGACATAGTGGCATTCCCTTCTTACTGTGACCAGTTCAAATCATAGTAACATAACGACTTTCCTTTCTTTAACTTATAACATATTGCCTGACAATATAACGGGACAGTTTTCCATAGAAGACTACATAATTAAGAATTTCTACCTGTATTTTTTTTTCTATAAACATGTCCTGCTACAAAGTTAGGTTCGGTAATGAGGTATCACATGTTGAATACTAAAAATACACTGAAAATACACACTACAACCCAGTATCGCGCACCCCTCTTTTATCTAGTCCTATAAAATGAATTATTATCGAGAATAAGTAAATATTAAATATCCCATAATAGACGTTCAGAATCACGATATGAACCTCCAAAGTCATAATCACAGGTAAACAAGGTTACCGCCATACCGAACACATTGTGGAACCCCTTGTGTAAACAAAGTCATTATGGTCATTCATTGACACAGGCCTGCTGCAACGAACATGTGGGGACACAAATTCCTGTAGCCTAAACCAGCAAGCTACAAAGGAAGGTGGAATTTGTTCAAAGTTCTATATCAATTGCAAATGGCTGTTGCTTTCCTACATCAAAATTTCAAACAGGAAACCGCGAAACACTTGAAGAACAACAAAGAAGGGAGACTATTCTGATTCCGTCTTTTAAAACTTAAAAAAAAGTGTGAGTTCTTTTACATGTGGTGTACGCGTTTCTTTCTTTTGATTTTTGTTTTAAAAAAATGTAACAATGAGAAAAAGAAAAACAATAAATTAACGTGTATAATTATGATAACAACGTGTTTTTAATACATTATGATGAGCTTAAGACGATCTTGTCAGGGTATCCATTATTTAATGAAAATTGTCAGCGTTTGATGACAATATGATTATAATTTCTATTCCTGACAGCATGTTCTCATTCCAGAACACACAGTATTTTTTACGTGCTACCTTTTATTTACACATTCAGGAAGAGTACATTACACTATGATATCGCCTTGTAACTGAGGGTTTTTCTTATCACTTGCCTGATTTACAAGGGTTCAGTACTTCATTCCTGTGAAACTGTGATTTTGTTGAGATCGTGCTTTACTAAAGTTTGCCGTAGGAACAGCAGGGTACAGTGTTAACGTCACACGAAGTAAAATAAAACTTTAGAGACTGAATCTACTTATAAATCTTTAATCTTATCAAAATGTTTGAGAAATCGTTAGATTTAGTGTTAAATCACGCATTTTGATGGAAAATAAATAGGATATAACATATTCATCAACGGTAATACTACTTTTTTAATATCACAAACTTCTTGCGACATGTCATCATGGCAAAATTAAAGGCACAAGCGAAGTAATTTGATCCCTACCAGGAAGAAAAAACTGACCAATCGCGGGCTGATATACTCCTTTTGGAGATTACGGTGAAGGCGTGATACCTAACTTCAAAGCCATTTAGAAGTATATCGTTCCATGACCTAGAAATTCGTTTGATGTACTTCAAAGTATAAAACTAGTCATTTCGTCTTGCCCAGAAGGTGTTGCACTTGGAACCTTCACTTTTGCCACATGTTCCAGGGATGCAGACAGCGAAAGTGATTTTAACCCCTGGAGTACTGAGGATGATATTTCAGGACTGAACTGTCCTGTTATGGCGTTTATGATTGTCAATAATGACAGAAATTTGTCAGGCAAGTGTCATATTATTGTGTAGTATGTTTGTTCTGTGGAAACAATTTTTAAAAAGTTGGCATATATAACACCTCTACCGTCAGGACTGTTTCAAACGTTCATCAAATAAGAAGCCCGATGGCCTTGCAAACAAAATAGTTTGATTGATTTCCATCGAAGCTAATCAAATTATGCTCAAAATAGTTTTCTTACTTAAAACTACAGAAAATTTATAATAAACTCCGAGGAAAATGTTGGCGAAGTACTTCAGACTCTTCAATCCATGACGACTATATGATTCTACTTTATTTGTACCTTGAGATTAATATTTGTAAAATTTTCAAGACCTTTTTCTGTAGATTAATGTTTTGGAGGCGTTAATAAATTTTAGCGTTATTGGTGTAAAAGGAATGTTTGTGATTTCATCGTTTCGGAAAGTAATAAACATAAATTACGAATATGCGGCCCACTGAGATTGAATCACTAACCTGTTCTGCAGCTGAAAAGAAAACTTCGCTGACATTCTCAAACTAAACCCTACAAACTTGAAAGCTCATTCCCAAAGTATACTAGTACAACAGTACCATGACCTAGAGCCTATTGGTTACTGAAAAGATGTTTAAATATCTAAAATATTTTACCTCTTTGACCTTGAAAGTCAGTTAATTTGAACAATCTTGGTAGCCCATCATCCCAGCTACAGAGTACCTTGGACTTTGGTTATCCAGAAGTTGTTTAAAGATTTCATGAACTTTGACCGCTGTGACCTCAAAAATGGGCCAAGATATTTAATTTGAATAAAGTAATGAAGCCCTTCATCCCAGCAACAGATCCAATATCAGTATCTTTGGACTTCTGTTTACTGAGAAGCTGTTTGACGATTTCAAGATATCTGACTGCGATCTTAAAAATTAGGCCAAGATAAATGATTTGATCAAAATATGGCAGCCCTTCATCACACTATGCTACAGGTTCAATATCAGTACCATATATATTTGACCCCTGTGACCTTGAAATTCGGTCAATGTCAAGCATGTAAACAAACATAAAAAGAAACATAAATTGTCATAAATTGACAAGACACAACACAGCTTGTGAAGAAACATTTACTGTTTAATTAAACTATTTTCATATTATATATGTAATGGTGTTTTTAATTTGTCAGGTTAACCTGCCCATTCACACAACCACACAACATTTAACAATCATCTACACATAAAGGCTACAGCAACTTCCATCCAAACAATATTCAATTTTTTCTCACGTAAAAATATATTTCATTAAACAACATGGCCACAGATGACGAGACCCTTTTGGCATTACTGTGACACAGAAAATAACATCAACAGAGCTTAACCTTCTCAGATATCACTTATTTAGATTACAACATGATAACATGATTTCGTTCTTTCTTAATCTCTCTTCAAGCTGTCTATGAATTTTGGTATTCCAGTTATGAAAGATTTTAATTCTAAAAAGATTCTGTAAATCTATCCATCATTATAATGTGCGATCACATGAGAAACATTAAGTCTCAATGTTACTACAAAATTAAAGTATTTGTATTAGTAAAAAGATTGTGGTTTCCGTGCAGTATATCACAGGTACCCTCTGTTTCGTTGCCATGAGTGTGTGCATATCTACAACCATACATATAAATGAGGTAAGGGACCATTATGAAGTACAAGTTTCATTCTAGAAATATTAGTATAATTTGTTAATATTATAGTGCTATTTAACAGTCAACTATCAATTCATTTGAAACCTTACCAAAAACATACAAATCTAAGTACATTGCATAAAAGAATAAGTTGCTTTGCTTGTAAAACATTTACCGATATGATAAGACCGCACACCCACTTCTTTAACTATCAAATACCATGTATTTGAACTCCAGACTTACTAATTTAGAATGTGAGGTCACAAAATAAGACCATGCCATAGTAATGTCCTTGCTTTCTATCACCATGTACAGATATAGTTTTGTGGTTACTTAGTTCTAAAATATGTGACAGATTAGTGAGGAAATATCAACAGTGATGTGTACAAGTGTGTACAGCTATGGGAAAGGATTGGAAAAAAAGAAAATATTTATTGGGAACTCAAAACTGGTAGAGGTGTTTAAATAAAAACTGAACAAACAATACTACCAGTCAAATAGTGATTGGACAACTGTAACCCTGTCCAATGGGAGAGTTACAAGCTACTGTGTGTATTATTGTAATACTAAGTAGTTAAAGTCAAGATAGACAGAAGAGAAGTCAAATCCCACATCTAGAGTGTGTTGACATTGCCTACATTACAAGTCAGCACTAGGACTGATGCTGCTATCAAGATCTAAGTCAACATAACAAAAATTAAAACTCTACACATACCCTAACTCAGATTAACAAGACACATCAAGGGAGGTAATTCTTACATATTGCACTCGTTATAGATCAAGTGGCCAACTACAAGCCCTTGTACTACGTTCAAACTCTATATATGGTCAACAAGCAACTTTTGAATTCAGTTTTTTAAAAATTAACTGAAAAATCATTCTGTACAGTAGATTTAATCCTACATCCAAAGGGTAGGGTAGGTTTATTAGAACAGATCTAGTTCATAAAGGCGAGATGTATAATAAAAGATCTCATAGATTTCATCAAAAAAATGCATGAGTGAATTAAAGTTTAGGATTTCCCTTATATGATTTGAGGTAATGATATACACACTGTACTAATCTGATTAATTTTCAAATTTGGAATTAGTTAGAATAAGCCTAAAATTCATTATATAATGTGGAATTAGAAAATAAGACAACTTCAATGTAAATATATTTGTGATGTGTCTCTATCTCGACTTTCTTCAAAATTGGAGGAAATAAAAAAAAAAATAAACCAATTCTATCTAAATAGTAAGAAAGTCTACTGAATAAACCTAAAAAAAAACCACACGGTGTTGGCAGGTAACAGGTGATATTCTGTACTAGCTGTGAGGTAGAGTCCCATGGACTTTTACAAAAGAAATCAAGAAGTTATTGTCGAAAGTAAAAAGATTTTGACACTAAGTTTTTACCCAGTAGGTACAGATGTATTGGGACAATTATATACAGGTTATGAGGTAGAAAAAGTATTTTAAACCAGTGACCTAAAATTTCTACAGGATTCAAGGAGTGATCATTAACTACTATGGGCAGTTAGATATTTAACAGTAAATAGACAAGATATCATTTTAGGAGAAGTGAATACTTTTACAGAAAAAAATCTGAAATTGATAATAGTATGTTGTGAGAAGTCAAGATTTTTACAAGAAATAGTTGGACATTGAAAGGAATTAGCAAGAATCTTCCTTGAAGTAAACAGAATGTATGTACATTGCAGAAGTCAGAAGTTTAAGAGAGCATAACCAGCCTTAAAATGAGAGTGGTCAAACTTCAACTGATATACTGATTTCCTTATAAGGTTACTTATCATATATACTGATAAACAGGAAGTTAAGGGACCATTGTAAACAAAAAAATATAAATCACTATTTCTATTTTTAAAAAAAACAAAATGCCACTGAAGAACATAAAAAAATTCATCATTCAAACGAGGAAAAAATAGGCAGGAAACAGTTGATGTAAACGTTACTGAATAACTAAGATATAACTGCTAACCTTATTCTCAACCATTTGTTCATCAGATTCATTTTTTGTTGTTTAATATACAAAAGAAGTGTACAATGTATAAAGATATGTATCCTACTTCATCAGAAAAAACATGTAACAAAACAAACCATGATATAAATAATTAAGTAGTTTCAGGAAATCTCTCGGAGAGCCTTTCTATATGAATTATAGTGTAATACTGAAGTTACAGAGGAATGTTTAGCAGGGAAAAAGCATCAACAACACAGACAGAAATATATTATACACATTTACAATCAAGCTTTTTAAATAAATTTTTTGCTTTAAATTTCTCAACAAATGTAGACAAAGAATCATATTAATAAGTATGTTACATAGAGACTTTTTAATTGAAAACATACAACATATATTTACAAATATAACAATCAACATTGCAAGATAATATTTTTCTTGTTACACCATTTAGGATATTTACCTCACACAAACTTGATAAACGTATCCAATTATCTTACTTCTTCATCCACAAAAAAAATTCTGAAGAAAAATCAATTGAAAAATTATATTTGAACATTGAAAAGTTTGAAAACAAGGTTAAACAAATCCGTTTTTGAAAAAAATCATATTTTTATATCATATGATAGATATTTTCCTTACATCATTATGAACAAAATATAATAGATAATGACAGTCGTCAAAAAACATAAGAGAAGATCACAGCGGCTTGTACATAGTGTTGAAAACAATCTCTCTCATACAGCTGATGCAGCAAGCTGTGACTCAGCGGGTAGAGCTGTGGACTTTCATCCTAGAAAACCAGGTTTGTCAGAACACTCAGGAAGAAAGGTGCTTTCCTTTGTTCTGTTAGAGTAATATTATTGTATTATAGGTTTAAAAGGTTAACTCTGGAGACAGAAATATGAAAAAGCGAGTCCTCCAATAGCATTGACGCATGGTCACAAAAACAATTAGCCATACTGTTGCCATTGCCATGCCAAAATCAACTTGCCACATTTATACAGTAAGTTTCACCCAGTTAATTTACAGATGATCTAAAATTGATCTACAATGTATTAACATATAAAAAAATCCAAGCATATAACCCCTTTTTTATTTGTTATAATAAAACAATCCAATTTCTGATATTACTTGCACAACAACTTACATAGGACATGAGGATCGGTGAAGTTTTCCTTCCTCTGGCTTTTCCTACTAGTTTGATTGTCTATCTCAACACCTCCAGCAATATATATAAAGTCTAGTTATCAAATGCTGAAAAGTTTGACAGATACTAAAGCTGATGACAAGGTAATTTGCATACTAGGTATGCACTGTAATGTGTTGAATAACAAGAGGTCTAATTGGCCTGAATTGCCCACCTGTTCTACAGCTTACATAGTCACGTAAGTAAAAACTGAAGAATTGAAAGCCCATTTCCCAATCATGTTACAACATAAATACCATGGCCCATGTCCTATTGGCTATTAAAAAGAAGTTTGAGTTCGTAAGACATTTGACAAGACATGACAATAAGTCAAGGTCATCCACTTGATCAAACTGGGCAGCCTTTACCTCAGGATGCTACAGGCCAAAAATATCAGTACCTTTGAATACACTTGACCCCTGTGACCATGAAAGTGGGTTCAAGTCATTCATTTATTTAAACTTAGTGGTTTTTTCATCAAAGCATGCTACCATGCCCAATATCAGTATCCTGGGCCTCTTGGTTATGAAGAAATTGTTTAAAACGTAAACAGACAATCCACCATGTGGAATAACAGAGTCCTGTCTTTCACAGGAATTGTGAGAGAAAATGCCATCTGCATTGTTTACTTACTTATATAATTGAATGCTTGCAATTTTAATGTTTGTTTTATAAATACAGTGATAAATCAATTATATAAATAAAAACTATATAAAGAACACAAAGGTTTGAACATGATTGTGATAAAAACTGATGGCACCTACATGAACAAAAAGAAAAAGACTTTAAGTAATAACAACAACAAATTGGTTTGAGAACCGATAAAGAAAAAATCACAAAACCATCACAACCTTACCATGTAACAGATATACAAAACATTCCAAACACTCTACAGCTACTCAGAACTCGCACCATTCACAATGCAGTAATTATCCTGAAATTTCTCTTATTGAAAACAATTTAATATTTACATAAACACTATGTTTATTACCAACACACATAAATTTTTATCATCAACTTTAATATCAGAAGTATCTACATCCTTCAGCTGCCATACATTGAACACCAATACCACTTTCTAATACCGAGAAATCTTGTAGCCTTATTCATCAAATATCAAGATAAATCTACTTATTTTGAAGATAAATTATTGACAGAATTCTTGAACACATAATTATTTTTTTCCTTTAAAATAATAAGGCAGGTATCAATAACTCTAAAAAAGGCCAAAAGTTCTTTGAAAGAAAAACTAGAACATGACAGTGTTTGAATCTGAATATTAACAGATTGCACACAATTATAAATGGCTACATAAAAATCAACATTGTCAAAGAATATGTAACACTCGAGCTCTCATTAATACACAAACTTACCACAATTATTTACATAAAAGGCAGTTAGAATATTCTGGTATCTGAACATATATATGATATTACAACAGGGAAGTATCATCATTTATGGACATTTTAGATTAAGTGATCAACTAGATTTGTCAGAGCAACATGGATGCTCTGCTGGCAACCATGAAGTTTCGAACTTTTGAAATGTTCTGGACTTTTCTATGAGGCTATACCGACGACTTTTCAGAGCAAGTCTGATATTTGTTGACCAAAAAGTAAATAAATTTGTGATTAAAAAGAAAAATCCATTGGAGTTTAGGCAAGGCTCTCCAACTTTTGTTGTACCATTTTAGGACAGATTCTAATTAAAGTTTTGTTAAATTGGTCATAACTCTAGAAAAAATAAATTGAATATTTGACTTCATGTACAAATTACCATTAAACAACTACATACCAAATTACAGTTCTGTTATTCAGAAATGATGACGGAATGATGCTCAAGGGCAACACTATATGCCCCTGACCATGAAATGGAGGGGACATAAGAGCAGAACAACAAAATAATACTTGTATTATCAATGGAATCAATTAGCCATAAATATGTATCAACAGTGTTAATAAAGCAAAGGATAAAACACAATATTATCTTCAGATTCATCTTCAGACAGAACCTATAGTGAAACCTCGATAACCCTTAATGTTTTCTCTCCAGTGAGGACAAATAACATCATTATAATTAGTTTCTTTACATTTGCACCAGTCAGTTTTGTTGACAAATCTAATGAACATCCACACTGTGTTTGCTACTACAGTTTTGTCTCCATGATTCTCTTATGTCGTTCACGTCCTTCACTTCGTATGTTTTCTAAAGATTCCTCACTTGAGGATCTCGAACACTTATTCATATTTTTCTTTCTGGACGAGAACAGGTCCTGATAACTTTTCTCCGATACAGGACTAATAGGTGTCACTGAATTATCTTCAAATGACATGAATGACTCAGTAGAACTGATTGAAGACACATAATCTCGTAAATCATGGTTAGATCCGAGCAGGCCATTGTTCCAACTGTTGACTGTGACATTACATGCATCCCCACTACCTCCAAGTGTATCCTCTGTGCCATTTACATAGAATGGAGAATCCACACTCAGCTGTCGACTTGTATATAGTTTTCTCTTGGGTCGCTGAACACTAGATTTGTTAGTTTCAGTAAAATCATTACTAGTTTCTACATTATCGTCGCAAAACTCAGACTGCGAGGCGAGCCCTTTTTCCAAACTTCCTGCCAACTCAGTCTGTAGTCTATAAGCTACAGCTTCAGGAAATACTGTACTTTTTGACCTTCCTCTTTGGCTGAACGTGAATCTAGAAGGAGCCATTGAATGTCGACGAGAAGCAGAGCCATGAATGGATTCTTGGTGTAGTCTTTCGGCGGCTTTCCTCAACAATACTGGGGAGGAAGGCAGGGACTGGCTCTGTGGGCCCGATTTATTCCTATGACGACCAGAGTAGGGATCAGGTGTACAGGGACTACATGGAGGGGTGAATGCATTAGATGGAGATGGCAATTCAAAGCCAAAAGACTGCTTTCCTTTGGGAGTTCCTAGAATTTTCCTTTCAAGGAACTGATGAAAGTCAACAAAAGGATTTGAGAGAGCAGGTGAGTAGAACTGGTCATCCTTACTCATAGCCTCACCAAGCACCGCCTGGGGTGTGAGAGAGTTTAAGAAATCTCCCGGATCTATCAATTCCTCCCCTGACAACTGTAAGATGTTATCTTCTGATAAAGATCGCTTGTGTCCTGGTCTCTTAGACACTCCTGCAACAAAAGCACATAAGCATTTCATGATATGAAAAATTAATGAAACATATTTTTATGCGAGTCTTATTTTCCAAAAAAAGTTAATCTCCACGTTACTTCATGCTTCAGAATCATATTTTCCTTGAACATTCATAATGGGCTTATTATTTCTATCGAAATCCTTTAATGTTTTTTGTGTGTGTGTAACTGATTTAAATAAATTATGTTTAAACTAACACAATAAACTCACCATCCCTGTTTTCCTTGATGCAGTCATCCTCCAAGTTTCTAAGGATTTGCTCAATAGATAAAACTATTTCAGCAAAAGTTGGTCTTCTCACAGGATCCATCTGCAGAAAAAATGGTAAGATATTATATTATGTTGTGTTGACAGAGTTATTTCCCTTACTTCAATGATATCATGTTGTATCGACAGAGTTATTTCCCTTACTTCAATGATATCATGTTGTATCGACAGAGTTATTTCCCTTATTCTGGTTTGATCTTGTTTCTGGAGAAACAGCAATGCAATATCTTGTATCTAATTCCTGCATTCTAATTCCTCTACAGAAGTAGGAAGACCACTTTTATGAGATTGACAAAACTGACGTACAAGATGACAACCAATAATGGTGAAGTCGGAGAATAGTACAACACAGTTTTGAAGTAATATGACTCATACTTTAACATTTCAGTGTTTACTGTCAAATTTTTTTTTCAGATATGAATGAAAGTCTTGCAGTTGCCATATCACATTTGTTCTGCTTTGGTTGGTGGCTGATAAAAACATCAAAAACCCAGAAAAATAATGATTATCTTCAATAGTAAAGCTCGCCAATACATGTAATGTTTATGATACATCTGTAGTTTATTCAAATTTCAACCTTGGGCCTGGTCACAAAGTTAAGAATATTACACTGAGACTTACATGGCAGCAGGTGAAAGTCAGGCGTAGGAAGTCCAAGGGACAGTAGTCGATCAGTCCACTGAACGCCACATAATCCAGGCCAAAGTTCTGTAACAGGTCAAACAAATTTATGCTGTGGTCCATCAGGTTTAGTTAACTTCAAACCGACTACACAGGTATTACATCAAATCAAACCCAACATATTGACTACACTTCAGCTACAGTTAACTTACACTCAGGCCAAACATATTAACACCAGCATTTTCTGTTAACTATAAAATTAGGTCAAAGATATTGACACCATCAGCTTCAGTTAAGTTTAGAATTAAAACTTAAATTGTGATACTGTAAATTACTTTCTCATGATATTTTATTGAAATCATCAACACTTTCTAAATGAGAATTTCTATCAAGCATTGAAAACCTAAGGTGTCAAAAAGTCTAAAAAGAACAATTTTGATATATTATAAAAAAAAAACTCAGTTGTATACCCGTGTTCGAGGAAGTATTTCTGGGTCAGCATCGATCCTTGCTATAATTTCACACATGATGATTCCATAGGAAAAAAAGTCGGCCTGTAAGTAAAGGAGCAGGATTTTTTATTTGTCTGATTTCCAAACAACCGATATAAAAATATCTTAATCCTTAAAAGATGAAAGATGTGTTTTGTTAATGAAATTTCACCTACTACATAACACATGAAATTTACACCAGTGTTGAAGAGAAAAAACGTGTTACCTTTTCATTGTATAAATGAGCAGGATTTTTTATTTGTTTGATTTCCAAACAACCGATATAAAAATATCTTAATCCTTAAAAGATGGAAAGATGTGTTTTGTTAATGAAATTTCACCTACTAAAAAACACATGAAATTTACACCAGTGTTAAAAACGACAAACATGTTACCTTTTCATTGTACCATTTGTTATGCAACACCTCTGGGGCAATCCAGTAGGGAGATCCCACAATTGGCAGGCAATTATCCTTGTCTCTGTAAGTATATTGAAAATAGTATTTTAAAAAAATTCTTTCTAGCTATATGCTTTAAAAAGATGGATTATTCTTGAATCAAATCACAACATTACCCTTTATAATATTTTCATACCTGGTATTATCAATTGTTACCACTATCATATTCCAACAACATAGGACCATTATTTACCATCAGTCTGTTACAATATTTTAAACTATATATGAGTATTCCATGACCATAGCATTGTATACCAAGGAGAGCTGTTCCTTGGAATAGAGACATATATGCTAAGGCTGAATTTTGATTTTCAAGAAAGTCTGTCTTTTCTTTAGTTTGTCCACTAGATCTGTCTATTTATAGTCAGCAGACATAATGAGGAGGTAACAACTGAGTGGACAGATTAAAGGAGAGAATTTTTTTTTTTTATGGTCAAATGGATTGAATAACTGGCAAAGCCTGTATAAATTCTCTTCATGAATGGCTACTGGAGTAGAACAATACTAATGCGTATAATCAGTAGTTTAGGTAAACCATTCAACAAGACAAAAACAATTATGTAACATAACAAGGGAGATAACTCACAATTAACAATGTGTGTAACAGACAAACACCCTCATTCGCATCCTTACAAACAGACACAGTGATGTACTACAATCTATACTATATCATAAATGATAATATTAGTACTAAAATATACATGACAAATAAACAGCTGGTTTTGCTATGTTTCTGAAAGTTACATTCCTGCATATTGGAGCCATTCTCATGCTTTCCAGTCATTGTTACCTCCCCTATAATCATAAAACAGAATAATCTGTACCAGTCCTTGTACTGCTGTAATATTGTCCTTATCAAATAATCCAATTATTACTGTTTCCCTTAAGAAAAAAAATATTTGAGTAACAGGTGATAGTATCAACAGCATCATCAATTAATTAAGTATCTAGGACTCCAAGGAAAATGAAAGTTTTTATAGCTAAAAGAATTTTGCCCGTACATGTAAAGCCCTGTAACTATATTGTAGAATAACATACATTACTGACACACTAATGAATAACTTGTGGTTGTATTTAAAGACTGGTACCAGAGTACAGTGCCCCCACTCACCCATCTACAGTCTACTCAGGGGTGTGTTGTATTTGGTTTCAATGTAGAAATGATATATGTAACAAGTAAACATTATGAGCTGAATATCAATTGAGGTTAATAGTCCTGTTTACATATATATTATATAAACCCAATCAGGGTTGACAATGACGCATATACACCATCATTAACTTAAGGACTAATAGGTCAACTTACAAGAGTGCAGTGTTTCCTAAACACTTGATACACAATCTGTACAGTATAGCTGGAGTGTGTTAACATATAATAATGTATTGTAACAATATCCTAACTTATTACATCATTAGGTGAAATTGACACCTTACCAAGGTAATATCAGAATATGACTTATAAGATCTCGATAGATTTAAAAAATCTGTCCCAAATGATCACAACTGACATTTGTATGGATCTATCTCATAAATGTTACATATAAGCTGGGCTATTACACCATTTACAAGACTGGCAATTAGTCTGTAAACATTAGTAGTTTAAGGCTCCATTCTACTAACTTATCTCCCTTTATTCTAGAAATACCCGAGATCTATCAATGTCTCATGAAGGTGAACGCCAAGTCCAACAATTTATAAACAAGGGTGATGACATGAGTGATTGTTGCAGAATCAGGTCTATTGGGAACAGTTGTGATATATCTTTCATGTATCTGCTAAAGAATATCCCCTTAGGTTAGGCATTAGTAGTGTAGTCCCTCCCAGGGACAATGAAGTAGAGTGTATGTTGTCCTTTATCACAGTAAGTGCTATATACTGAATATATCAGTCACTGACAGTATCATGACAATGGGCGTGTAATTAAATCCTGCAATTGGCCCAATCCTTCTATCTCTCCTGCCATTGATCTTCTCTATCTACCACACTGTCTGGCTGATCACCCAGTCTTATCACACCCAATAAGTTGGTCAGATTACCGTTACTAGATCAATGAATTGGGAACACTCCATCTGTGTGAAACCTTGATTTCAGCAGCAATAACGAGACGTTGATACCTTTTTATACTAAATACAATATCCGTGCAGTTTTATTTCTTTGTAAACTGGCGATTCAGATGATATTAAATAACGTTCGAATTACTGAAAACCAATCTGAAAATTCATCTGTAATCTATTGAACAAGAAGAGTATTAGCATTACTTGTCTTGAGAAGAAGATTTTGAAACTGAAGTGATTTTTTTTTAAACAATCAAAATTAATGATAAAACAATATTCTGTAGGATATACCTTACCCATCATATCATTACCAGCTGAATGAAATACATTTCCTACTCCGCTTGCAGAATTACGTATCACTAATTTGTAAGATTGATAATTAATTTTTTCCTACAGTAGATCTCATTGACCTACAATAATGATGATTTATATATTTACATGTATCACCATGCTAGACACTAAAGTCTAATATTAGATTTAGATATAAAAATGTTGTTAAAAGGTAATTATGTTGGATATCTATCCTGATTCCCCCCAGTTAAACGGTCAGACAGAATGACTATGGTCATCAATCAATATCATAGCAGCACTAGATAGTATAAATGTTTATGATTATAAGATTATTAGGCCTATATTGCCCCGGGATGTCACCTCGACCTAAAAATCGTAAATATAGATGTTAAGCACTGATTATATCTGCTCAGTTTCAATAACAGATATAGGCTCAGTCTGACCGATCTACACACTAGTTCATTTTTGAGGCTGTTTATGACATATCTGATAAACTTGAATGGCTATTGCTCACAAACATGTGTATTTTCTATGGTCTCTCTAGACAAGTCTATGGTGTATTTTCTATGGTCTCTCTAGACAAGTCTATGGTATATTTTCTATGGTCTCCCTAGACAAGTCTATGGTATATTTACTATGGTCTCTCTAGACAAGTCTATGGTATATTTACTATGGTCTCTCTAGACAAGTCTATGGTGTATTTACTATGGTCTCTCTAGACAAGTCTATGGTGTATTTACTATGTCTCTCTAGACAAGTCTATGGTGTATTTACTATGGTCTCTCTAGACAAGTCTATGGTATATTTACTATGTCTCTCTAGACAAGTCTATGGTATATTTACTATGGTCTCTCTAGACAAGTCTTTGGTGTATTTACTATGGTCTCTCTAGACAAGTCTATGGTGTATTTTCTATGGTCTCTCTAGACAAGTCTATGGTGTATTTTCTATGGTCTCTCTAGACAAGTCTATGGTCTCTCTAGACAAGTCTATGGTATATTTACTATGGTCTCTCTAGACAAGTCTATGGTATATTTACTATGGTCTCTCTAGACAAGTCTATGGTGTATTTACTATGTCTCTCTAGACAAGTCTATGGTGTATTTACTATGGTCTCTCTAGACAAGTCTATGGTATATTTACTATGGTCTCTCTAGACAAGTCTATGGTATATTTACTATGGTCTCTCTAGACAAGTCTATGGTATATTTACTATGGTCTCTCTAGACAAGTCTATGGTGTATTTACTATGTCTCTCTAGACAAGTCTATGGTGTATTTACTATGGTCTCTCTAGACAAGTCTATGGTGTAGTAACTATGGTCTCTCTAGACAAGTCTATGGTGTATTTACTATGGTCTCTCTAGACAAGTCTATGGTGTAGTAACTATGGTCTCTCTAGACAAGTCTATGGTGTATTTACTATGGTATCTCTAGACAAGTCTATGGTACATTTACTATGTCTCTCTAGACAAGTCTATGGTGTATTTACTATGGTCTCTCTAGACAAGTCTATGGTGTATTTACTATGTCTCTCTAGACAAGTCTATGGTGTATTTACTTTGGTCTCTCTAAAACAAGTATATGGTGTATTTACTATGGTCTCTCTAGACAAGTCTATGGTGTAGTAACTATGGTCTCTCTAGACAAGTCTATGGTGTAGTAACTATGGTCCCTGTAGACAAGTCTATGGTGTAGTAACTATGGTCCCTGTAGACAAGTCTATGGTGTAGTAACTATGGTCTCTCTTGACAACTGTATGGTGTACATTAAGACTATATGATAAATACTGTGTACTTACAATGGATCTGGAATTTTGGCTGCCAAGCCAAAATCAGCCACCACAGCACTCAGGTTCTCATCATTGCCACACACCAACACATTCTGTGACAAACAGAAAGCAATATAAAAGTTTATTTTATTGAAAGGAAAATTTCATTAATAACAGTTTTTGCATACCAATATTGATTACATCGCACAATTCCATTTGAACTTTTACACAAAGAAAACGACACTGAATGGAACAAGAAAGCTAACTGTTTGGTCATATTACTATGAAAATCAAGAACAGAAAAAATGACACTTGATAACAGAAAAGGTTGTGTATTACTGATACAAAGCCAGTGTTCATGACAATCAATCTCTGGGTGTGAGCTTACTTAAGATGTGATTAATTTTTACAATCAATGAAATTGTGTTGCCAATAACAACTGACTGTATAACAGCATTGTAAGTCATCACGGTAAAAATGTGTAAAAAAATAAACACATTTATAATAGATTGAATAAACTTCTGTTTGTATTTCAGTGTTAGGCATCAGGTTCCCTAGATTATACCACTTCAGAGATGTCAGCTGTGTGTTTTTCATGTAAACCAGTGTTGTATGAAGCCAGTGGAGCCGATACAACACTCGCATTACTACTAAGATGCAAAAGGTGAGACATGTAGTGAAGTAATAAATACCCTGGATTCATGTCTTGTAGGGGCTTGTGAAGAATCACTGAAGTGTTGCCCGAGTTTGAACCTGGAGCATCAGCGTACATCATAATATAATCTTGTTGTATCACTGGGCTACAATTTGTTATACCTGTTGTCAGGCTAATTACAAATATACAGTATATTACTATCAAGTCTTTATCCTATACAAAACAGGTTTTGATGTATACATCTACAGCTATGTTGTATAGCAGTTCAAATTCTAGTCATAACCTTTGGGTTTTTTTCTTCTGTTTTTCTTTATCGCTACTTTTATTTGTCCTAGTGGTCTGTATTAAATGTAAATTTTATAACAGATATTAAGATTACTGTGACCCTAGAAATACACTGCTCATATGTCCACAATAAGTATGTGCCATGTTTGAAAATTTTGAAAACTCTGACACTTCAAACTGAATTGGTCTCAAAATGCTATCATTCTATAATACACATAAGCTGAAGTGTCATTCCGATTGAAAAGTGAGATGACAAAGTGTATTACAGACATGAGCACTTCAAACCAAGAGGATATCCCTGTGACCTATCCATCACCTTCCCACTTCCTCACCTAGATATTGACCAATCACAATAAATCTGTACTTGAATCAGCCAATCAGAATTATGTCTAGATGTAAATAAAATACTCAGCTAAGTATCGCACTTCCCATTTTTATATGAATGGAAATTTGCAGTGAATATAATGTGTATTGAGTTAGGAAAAATTCTACTAAATATAAACGAAGTTTTTCTACTAAATATAAGTTTTACAGAAAAATGCACAAAATTTTACAGAAATCAATTACTTTTCATTTTTTTTTTTTTTTTTCTTTTTGTCCATTTAGCTAAATATCAATATTTATATATCATATTCAATACATTCAAGTGAAATAGGGAGAAAATCAAATCTCCAGCCTCACATAAATTTTCATCACAGTTAGTAATAAGCTTGGTACACAGTCAAGTTCTTTGACCAAGCACAGTGCAGTAGTATAATTGGACAACTGTATTAACATCTATTCAACCAAATAACCTTGGTTTGTAGGAATTTACATCATATCAAAAGAAGTCATATTTGTCATCAAAATACCATTCCAATGAGGAAACAGTCACCTCCTAATATGACTTACAGTCAGAAAAAGTGAAATATTGTGGTTAACCTCACAGGGAAGTAAAGCCCACAAAAATGATATTGTACACTGAGAATGGAAACAGACACCATACAACAATAAATTTATGTATTCAGTCTTTTTTTTATCATCAAAAACATTTCTTTTTAGAGTATTTGATTACCATCAAGCCTGCTGTACTTAGCTAAATTACTAAAGACACACATGAATATTTCTGTTGGTGAGAATGCATTTTTATGAGGAAGTCCTCAGAAATGGACTTAACCAAAGTGCATTGGTATGAAGTTTCTGTGTCACCAACGGTATGTTTCTGACTATAAGCTGTCTCACGAGCAGACAGGAAGACAACTATCAAATTGATAAAATGAGAAGTCCATAACACTGTGGATATAATTTATCTAGTAGTGGTCATATAGGATTTTACAATCTGAGAAGTGCATTATGATAGGGAAATTTTCGTTTTTTTCATTCAGCGCTTAAGATTAGTCATAATCAAAACATTCCTAAATTTAGACCACCTGAATCAGTAAAGGACATGAATAGTCTCAAAACATACTTGAAATTTGTAACACTTGTTGAAGGTGGTGACAAATAGAAAAGTCATATATATATATATATTGTTCATGCTGAGGACTTTATATATAGCGGTTAGTGTTACAGATGGTTACATGTATCAGATAGTATTACAAACAGCTACAGAAACATTACTGATGTAGTCATCATTTGTCATAGACACACAACCCTTTCACTATAATGTTAAGAGAGGGTGTAATTGGAGGAGAATTTATTTCTTCAGTGTTATTCATATAGCCTTCAGTCATAATAACCGGTCTTCATTCTAAACAAACCACCTTCATATATATACCAGGGCTATGTTTCACTCATCTGTGTTACAAGAGGTCGGCAACCTTATTATATCACTCTTCAACTTTTTCAAAGCAAACTTGAGTCCACAACTTCATTTCAGTCAAAAGTACTTTGGAAGCTTTGAAATAATACCAATTTACAAGTAGAGACTTAATCAAAACGATATTCCACTTTGCTTGGATTTCTAGTGATATTTGGTATACATGTTTGATGAATGAATGGAATAAGGTCAGTAGACTGACCATGTATATAGGTTGTGTGTTGAGATGACCAGAACTTCACATACTGAACACCAGAGGAATGTGTCCCACATCCCTCCCTAACCACCAGACGTTTATCAACCATCCAGACCAATTTCACCCCCTGTTATCTTTTAAAACTTGGGACTAATTCAAACTTAATTTCACCTTTGTATGTGTTATCTTGGAAGTAGATAAGAACAATCAACCTACCCTGTGACTAATGCCTGTACCTTATACAGCAAACTCCAATACAGACACTTTAGGACATCACACATCATTCTTATTATCATTATTATTCCTACTTCAAACCTTTTTTCAAAATTATTTCAAGATATCCTTAATGATGAGAGTGACAAAGAAACAAACTTGTATGTCTAACAGAACATTAAATTTTAATTTTTTCTTTTATAGCGTGCCAAGGAAAACTTCAGATTTGATTGTCACTGATGATTCAACACGAGAAATGAGTGTGATATTGGCAATGCTTTATCTTTTAAATTATATACAGTGCCCTACTTTTGTAGACTGTGAACGCATAAACTGTACCATGCATGAAATCACTTTTACAAATATTTCACCCAGTCACTTTCTAGCTATTTATCGACAAATCTGGGGAAAAATTGAAGTACAAGGGTTTCTTTCCCAGGTCAATGTACAACAAGTATACATATGTAAAAGAGTCAATGATTACCAGAGTTGACAAAAATAGAATTTTTGATGTTAAAGAATCATGTCTGTTTTGTGTAAGATAACCCCTACACAGTGAGGTGCCAACTTCATATACATACCAGAATAATATCTGAATTGTAAAAATAATTGGTACAGAGAGAGAATATTTCATCCAGAACATTTTAATGTGGAATAACAGCGAACAAACTCATCAAGAGTGTACTTTTCATGTCTGTCAAAATAATTTGGACTGTTTACCCATGTAAATATATGAAAATACATGCACAGTTGGTAGATTTCAGTCCTAGGTGTGACAAAGCACAGTCACCTCTGGCTTCTTAAACATTCATTATACAATTTACATACATATCCATGTTAAGGCCTGGATCACCTCTGTGACATATGGCCCTACTATCACTGTACAACACTAACACAGTCACCTAGTCTCAACCATGTCCATCAATATGATGAGAACAACACACCAAACACTTCAGAGATACATTGACTTTTGTAACATATAGAAACTCATGTATATGTTTTTTATTATACTGTGTTGAAGTTTAATGAAAACGATGCTGAAATAAAAGTTTTTCTGTCAATTTTAGATATAAAGTGTTAGTTGTACAAGAGTAAATGCCCTTATTTACCCTGGATGTGAGGTCACGGTGAAAAACGCCTCTAGAATGCAGATACTTCATCCCACTGGCAATGTCCAACGCCAACTTGATCTTCATAGTCCAAGGAAGCTCCAGGCTTTTGTCTGCTAGTACCTCATTTAAGCCCCCTCGATCCATAAACTAAAATAACACAAGGATATTGGACATCAATTCAACTTTGTAAAATATTTCAAGACATTTCCATTTTAAAACTTTCATGTAACTGTTTTAATAGGAACCAATACATCCAAGTAAATATTTTAATCCTTTGAGTGAATAATACTTATACCTCGCCAAGTTATAACTCACTGTAATGACTAAATAATATGTAATTATGTACATTGTAATGAATAAACAGCAATAAAAGAAATTAAAGTCAATCATTTATTTTTTTTTTATGAAAATTGGCTTATTTGAAAAGTATGCATATTTGGTCTACTCAGTTTGAGAAGTTAATGTTAAATGACTGACACTTTTGTCTAGCGAGCAGATTCAGCTTCTGATGCTTAGTAAGTGAAAATTGAACAGGCAAGTGTGGACTCAAAGTCTACAATCAAAACTCCCTTAAATATTGTACTGAAAACAAAAAAAGTTATGAAAAACAAAATGATTTTACTATATCTATCACATGTAATAAGAATTAAAACTGATGGACGAATTGATGTTCAGCAAAATTTTTAATGTGTATAAATATTGCTGCTCCTTGGAGTAAAATTAAGGCAACAATGACGTGTCCAGATCTTACTGGAATCCTTCCACCGAACTACCATACCACCGAACAGGTCCTCCACGATTATGATGTCTGGCAATAAAAACCTGTTTGTCTTTTCACTACAAAGTATATTGATCTGCCCACTGATCTGGATATTGTACGGCTGAAAAGTTGGTCATATAAATACCTTGCATATCCTCGATTAGGATAAAACTATTAGTATGGATTTACGTTTCAGAATAGCCGGTATTTCTAATGCATACAACTAAAAATTTAATAGCATGTTTTCTTAAGGAAATAATCACAACCCAGAGTTAATAAATCTGACAAATAATTATGGTGACCATTCAAATTTGTTCTTTAATTCCTGGGAGTGCTTTTATTAGTTCAAATATTCATACATTATACTTAGTACTTTTCAGCCAGATTAACCTGTCACATTGAACCTGAAAACTTAGGTATCTCTAACTGTTATTTGTACATATGAGAAGTCTATTTCACCTGTTAAGACATGGTTATCATTATATCTTCACTACAGAATTATCAACTTGACTATTATCAACATCATGAGGTAAAGTGAACACAGACAGATCCTTTCATTCAGACTATAGGATTCCCTGAAGACATCAATCTCTCAATTAGGTCAATACACAGTTTATATACTTGACTATATCACTATCTAAGTACACTTCCATTAAAATCATGTCCACTGTTTAATCCAAATTAGAAAAGAAAACTATACACATCCTCCTTAATCTAAGTGTCCTAGGACACTATCTTCAGAAACAACAGACAATTACAATGTTGGTTTTCTGGAATATGATATGGTAGTAGTTAGTACGAGTTACGAATTATAATCTTGAAATCGGGTTATTAAATTAATTTGGAATGTTAATTGTTTTTTAATTAAGTCAGTATAAAATGTATATACTTCGCAATATCTCTATCTAGATACCCTTCAAATAAAAAATATTTCACAATAATAACTATTTGTACCACAACAGACATTGAATCTGACTCAATATAACGTTTGTACTGCATGAAGTGTCCAACTTATCCTGATATTGAGAACCAGATATGAATGTCACAAATCCACAAAGGTCAACATGATCTAGACAAAAGAACTCATAAAACAAGACATATTAATATGGTGCCTCTTCTATATTGGGTATAAAAATGATAAGTGATCACTGATCTAGTGATTCGGTATTCAGTGTGATAGATGACCTGTGGTGTTCACACCTGCGGTAGTAAAAGAATGACTGGGGGACATTTACACTAGGTACACCTGGAAACATCCCTGACTGAGGTCTACTGTCCTGTCTGAGTACATGGTGCTTGGATACATAACCTATATTACTAACAATTCACCAAAACCTGGTGTGATATTTTCTTTTTTCCAAATGTGTTTATTCTAATCAAGTATAACCGCCAGTACCTTCATAGTGCAAAGCCTCACTAAGTATGTCACAAAGTACATTGGTCTATTGGCATTAGCCAATACAAATATCCCCAGAACATCATCTGCTAACCCAAAGTCTAGTGGAGTTGACCCTTGGAGTATAACATTTTAATTTACAACTGTTAAGTCTGACCGAATATAAGTTTGAATATGTAGCTACAAGTTCTACAGGCATAAAGAAAGTAATAATTTTCATGGGACAGTAATAAAAAATAATACTTTCATGATATACAGAATTAATTGCTGGAAACTGTGACACCATGAAATCAAACTGGATGATGTAACAGGAATAACTGGATATATCACAGTTATTCTGAATATCTTTGTTGCTTTATGCAAAAGCTTTATAAAAAAAATTATTACTGGTCTAATATACAGTGTCTTTTTCATGAACAATATGAAACAAGTGGCATGACACATCTACCGCAATATGCCTCAGTCCAATTTATATCCTATTTCCTATCCTTCAAGCTGTCTCTTTTATGGTACAAGGACCATGACTACATAAATATAGGGCAATAACAATACTTTAATGTATGTACGCAAAATTTGTCAGGGAATCAAGACTGAACCACCACAAGGGTAGACTCATTAACAAGTGCTAGGCTCTAACATTCTGATACCATTGTTATCCCACAGCGTCAGTAATGGAAACCCAATGTCGGAAAGATTGCGTGGGTGGGTGGAGGGGTAGGTGACAGTAAGGTATTCTATGCCAGATAGCTCAAAGGACACATATCTCTTGATTCTGAAAGTCATTATACATTATTCCTTTAAAAAAACATCTTTTTTAACTTGATTTTCTCAGAGAGTCAGTTTGAAATAATAACTACGTAGTCACAAAGCTGACTAGACAGAGTGAGTAAACCCAGGCCTGTTGACAATAACATCTCTCTATAATTAATACCATAGAGCAGCATTAACATATATCTGATAACCAAGCAGGCACACTCTCATTCTTGGCACAAAACCTTTCTCATGGAAATCAACTTTTGCTCAATATATCACATTTTCTAGAATGATGTCTGTATACAGCTCCCCTGCTACCTGTTTTTTTCATTCCTTCCAAAGAGCATGACTTTCACATAACATAAACAGACACAGAGAGTGTAGCCTACCATTCAGCCATGCTAAGCATGGATTGTCTTTCTAAAATATCATTCTATTTCAATTTGTTTCTGATTATGAATTTAAAATATTCTTTTGACAAAACTATTAAATTCACCCAACTAAATCATACAGGGTAGACACAATTGATACCTGAGTTTCTCATGGTTTCTAAAGTTCCATGAGGATCTGCAGTATTTAAAACTGGTACATGTTACAAATTCAAATATTTGTTTTAGTCTTTCTAAACAAGATTGCAACATTCAGCTAATGTGCAGGCTCACTGTTAGACTGGCTACCACCTCGCAAGATTTTGTAAACAACTGCTCTTTTAAATTCTTACATCAGCATATCTCCCCCTTAGTTTGAAACTTAGATCTACCTGATCTCCCCTTAGTTTGAAACTTAGGTCTAGCTTATCTCCCCCTAGTTTGAAACTTAGGTCTAGCTTATCACCCCCTAGTTTGAAACTTAGGTTTAGCTTATCTCCCCTAGTTTGAAACTGAGGTCTAGTTTATCTCCCCCTAGTTTGAAACTGAGGTCTAGCTTATCTCCCCTAGTTTGAAACTGAGGTCTAGTTTATCTCCCCCTAGTTTGAAACTGAGGTCTAGCTTATCACCCTCTTAGTTTGAAACTTAGATCTACCTGATCTCCCCTTAGTTTGAAACTTAGGTCTAGCTTATCTCCCCCTAGTTTGAAACTTAGGTTTAGCTTATCTCCCCTAGTTTGAAACTGAGGTCTAGCTTATCTCCCACTAGTTTGAAACATAGGTTTAGCTTATCTCCCCTAGTTTGAAACTGTGGTCTAGCTTATCTCCCCTAGTTTGAAATTGAGGTCTAGTTTATCTCCCCCTAGTTTGAAACTGAGGTCTAGCTTATCTCCCTCTTAGTTTGAAACTTAGATCTACCTGATATCCCCTTAGTTTGAAACTTAGGTCTAGCTTATCTCCACCTAGCTTGAAACGGAGGTCTAGCTTATCTCCCACTAGTTTGAAACATAGGTTTAGCTTATCTCCCCTAGTTTGAAACTGAGGTCTAGCTTATCACCCCCTAGTTTGAAACTTAGGTTTAGCTTATCTCCCCTGGTTTGAAACTTCGGTCTAGCTTATCTCCCCTAGTTTGAAACTTAGGTTTAGCTTATCTCCTCTAGTTTGAAAATGAGGTCTAGATTATCTCCCCTAGTTTGAAACTTATATTAAGCTTCTCTTCCCTATTTTGAAACTGAGGTCTAGCTTATCTCCCCCTAGTTTGAAACTGAGGTCTAGCTTATCTCCCCCTTATTTGAAACTTAGGTCTAGAATCAGACATAACTAAGAGACCAAAGCTCATTTTTATGTATAATCTCCTAGAGACAGCGGCCAGTCTATTGGCTGTTATTGGATAATATAGTGATCAATCTTACCTCTGTCAAAGCATGTAGTTGTCCCTCATGTACACACACTCCAAGGAACCTGTAATTAAAACACTTTGTAAAACAGCCATCTCAACATTTTCCATTAAGCAATTAATTACAAATCAGAAAAACAAAAAAAAAACCAAAAAATCTACAAAGTTTAAACTGCTGTAATAGCACAAACATTGAGTTAATGATGCTGTTTAAGTGCACTAATTGAGTTAATTAACGATGCTGCTTTTCAGATGTCTGTCCATGTATATGGAATGCATGTTTACTACATAAGCAGACTTTTGATACAGTGATTAGAGGTGATAACTTCCGAGAGTTTATAAATAGATGAGATAGTTTATTGTATCTGGAAAGCTTTTCTTATGTAATACACACACATCATTAACACAGAATACATTCTCTATTACAAGACTTGTTCTCATTTGATATGTATTGTTTGAGTATCATACGGATGTTTACCTGCCAGTAAGAACCATCAAATCTGCTGTAATTGCATGGTATATATGTAATCTTGGCTTAGTTACTGCTGTGAAGGTTATATGTGTGGTATCAATGTATATTTAGTAGGATACAAATATGTAAATGCATGGTGGTAAATGCCATTTAACACCTACACCTCAAGTTTTCTTATGACCAATTCAAGCTCTTAGGAAGATACCGCAAAATTTAGTGACACAGGAAATTTTTATGCTTCAAATTTTACAAAGATACAACAAACTTAGGAAAACAGCTAGATGTAAAGACCAAGCTCTTACGAAAATACATGTACCACAAAGTTTAGAGAAACGGAAGAAAATCTTTCTTTAAGCTCTTACAAAGATACATGTACCACAACGTTTAGGGTAATACCAAAAAAAGCAAGATAAATGAACTTGATGTGATTATTAAACAAGTTTCACTTAACACCTGGTTTGGTATTACCAACTCTATGTGATCATGCATGTTTACCTATGGAGTTGATTTCCGTATACATCCCTACCACAGGTATTTGTCTCCTTTTATCTTTCTAATGATTGGCTACTAAATATATACAGCCTATCTATCAGAATGATAATAAAGTGGGGCCAGATCCTGTGATCGTGACACTGAAGTCAAACTCATGAAGAACCGACTCTCCAAAACAGGAAACCTAGCACATAAAACCTGATGATGAATATTTCATCACTTGCAAAAATAAAAAAATCTTCTCGAAATCATTTACCAAACTGGTGGGACTGATAACAACTGTATAATATACTGTATATTTTGTAAATAAAACCCCCTTCATAGTGAGAGTCATTGATTACGTATCAAATGTACTACATGGGTTGTAGATACATATCTTCCTCTGTTGCTGTAGTTCACGATTTCTTGAAGGTTTTAATCTCTTATCATAACTGTCTATTAACAATACAAGAAATTTGGATTTTTTTCCATTATTTAGAAAGGGACATGTAAACATCACTGAAACGTTTGCTTGCTTTATGAATATAAGAGCATGAAAACCATTTTTTGCCTTCCCAGGCCTTTACTACGGATTACTTCAGTAAGCCTAGAGAGACACCAGGAAAGGCATTGAGATCCATGGTGTAGGGCACTATTGTATAATATCATTTCAGATATATTGATCAGGAGATGGTATATTGTCTGTAAATTAGAACTTGAATATCGATTTCACACCAAACTGAATATACAATCACTGAAGATTACTGATGTAGTTCTGGTAAAAACATTGATAAACATGAATATGAACTTCATCAACAAGTACTTGTCAACCATGGAGCTTCTGTTAAAAAAACATAACTCACTCTAATCTGATGTAAAGTAGTCAACCAAGGATCACTCTAATGTATAGTATTCAACCAAGGATCATTCTAATGTATAGTATTCAACCAAGGATCATTCTAATGTATAGTATTCAACCAAACCTAATGTATAGTAGTCAACCAAGGATCACTCTAATGTATAGTATTCAACCAAGGGTCACTCTAATGTATAGTAGTCAACCAAGGATCACTCTAATGTATAGTATTCAACCAAGGATCATTCTAATGTATAGTAGTCAACCAAGGATCATTCTAATGTATAGTATTCAACCAAGGATCATTCTAATGTATAGTAGTCAACCAAGGATCACTCTAATCTGAGGTAAAGTATTCAATCAAGGATCATTCTAATGTATAGTAGTCAACCAAGGATCATTCTAATGTATAGTAGTCAACCAAGGATCATTCTAATGTATAGTAGTCAACCAAGGATCATTCTAATGTATAGTATTCAACCAAGGGTCATTTTAATCTGATGTATAGTATTCAACCAAGGATCATTCTAATGTATAGTATTCAACCAAGGGTATAGTATTCAACCAAGGGTCACTCTAATGTATAGTAGTCAACCAAGGATCACTCTAATGTATAGTATTCAACCAAAGATCATTCTAATCTAAGGTAAAATATTCAACCAAGAATCTCTCTAAAGTATAGTATTCAACCAAGGGTCACTCTAATGTATAGTATTCAACCAAGGATCATTCGTATGTATTGTATTTAACCGAGGTTCACTCTAACCTGTTGAAAAGTATTCAACCGAGGGTCTTTCCACTCTGGTGTAAAGTATTCAACCAAGAATCACTCTAATTTTACATAAAGTGTTGGATCAAAACTCTTATTTACAGAATTATGACTAATAAATTTTTATATAAAAGCTTTACTCTTGGAAATGAGTGAAGCTACAAATCAGATAAATAATGATCTCCTATATTACACAAATCCTGAGTCAGACTATCCATACATAAAACATTGATTTGGGTCCATAAAGATACAGTACAAATACAGCTGGGGAGGTGGTAACCAAGGAACCCATCTTTGTAGCTGAGCCAGGAAAATGACATTTAGCATTTCTCGTGTAGGTAAATATCCAATCTCGCGATGTTGACATGAAAAATCACGTAGCCAATTATAATCAATGGCAGAGTCCCAGAAAACCTGACAAACAAAAGGCTGTTCTGGAATCTCAACACTCAAATAAAACAGCTACAGGCAACATTATATATATAGAAAAGTCATATAACATTTTAAACAAAAATCTATTTTTGTAGCATTCGACAAGGTGTGGAACACTTCATCCTCAATCTTAAATCACTTTCTCTTAATTATAGTTGTTATAGATGATTAAATACTACCTCAGATCTATACAAACTTGTGATTACAGACAATTTTGTAATTACATCTTTCAAGTTATAAATACTATAAGCCATGATATTCACGTCAGCTTCATTTTCTGTTTCCTATAGCTGTCATGTGTAGCAGCTTATGGTATATCTATCATCAGACTTCAGACTCTCTTACATAACTTGAACCTCTAAAAGCATCCCACAACATGCTGAGAGATGCTATCCGAAATGTGGTATGCATTGAAAGTCATCTCAAGGCAACTCATTAGTATTGAAGTGTAACTCTTCCACAGAAACAATCCAATTTCTATCACAGTTTGAAAGAAGTAGGAGAAACTGCTTGTTCTGTGATTTATACAGAGAATCTACTGATGTAAACAGGAAGTTGTTATTGTGATATCTATATAACATCCTTCTTTCATGTAAAATTTTGATAATAATAAACAGACAAAGCGAGTAATATTTGAATTTTACATCACACAGATAAACTGTGTGCAAAGACCTTCTATGGTATCCCAATCTATACGCCAAAATCTGTCTGTAACTACAGTATCCCAATCTTCAACCCAACATGAAGAAAACTACTCAACATCAGTAGACATGTGAAGTGCTCTGACTGAATGTTTAGGCTAGAAGGTACAAGATTTAACCAGGATCCTCTGACTTCTGCCATCTTACAATGTTATACAGTCCCTAATAACTTCAAAACAATGATTCTGTTACAACTTAACGTTAATGAAACTTATCTAGTTAAAAAATAATTCATTCAAAAGTTAAAAACTGAATAAACACTGAACTAAAACTAAAATTTTCTTTATATATTCCTCTGCAGTTCCATAAATAAGCGATCCAAAAAAACCTCTTTAATATGATCTATACACTCCTTTTATAAGTTTGATCTTTTCCACTTCCTGCTCTGATTTTCATGTTTGTCAGCCAATGATCAATACATGACCTTCAAATCTGGTCGCATGTGCGAAGGTAACAAAATCACAGATGTTTAATAGAAAATATTTAATCCTTCAGGAAGCGCTACTAATCAGCTATAAGCTTGATTGATTCAGTACTAGTGTAAGCTAGCCTCGGAGATCTCGATGCCACTGTGTGAAAAATATTTTCATTGATAAACATTTAGTTTTCTCTGGATTACTTCTAGATCGACCATTTCAAAGGGCAATACAGTATTTTTAACCTTTATATGATAAAACACATTTTTTTCTTGATGTTACGCAGCAGGGGTTATCGAGGCACTGTCTACTAAGTTATGACTGTGTTGGTATATCGATTGCCTTACCTGAGGATGTTAGGATGAGCCAGTCTATTCATCAACTGAACTTCTCGCAACATAGACATCCTGTTACAGTAGTTACTATTCATCTTCAGCACCATCACCTGCCCAGTCATCTTGTGTGTTACCTGTGAAAACACAAATTCATTAATGCTTAAAGAGCTGACACTGAATATTTCAAAACAGGTAAATCACCAGTTTGGTGCAAAGATGATGTTTTCTCCTTACTTTCACATTGAATCAAAGCCAACTAGTTACATCAAGATCATAATACAGTAATAATGACAAACACATTATAAAGATATTTGATCAGGAGACTTTCATTCACAACATACAGAAATACCTGCTTTTATTCAATACTGCAATTAGAGAAAACTTAAAATTAAAAGTACATTAAATACTGCCAATGGGTTATATCAGAGCCTGTCTTCATTGTCTCATGGAGTCTTTAAATTGCTCATATCTATATATATATATTTATATATGTAATTTAACCTCTAGAAAACTTTGTGTACTGTGTTAATGCATAAACAGAAAAATGAAATATCAACATGACAAAATATATGTTTCACTAGCGTTTTCCAGTCTGTTGGCTCTCTTCAAGTGATTCCAGTTACGTAAAATACAAAAAGTAATGAAAGGGGAGATAATTATTAACACTTCGGGTGTAATGACACTAGTTAACTCCTATTCAGTGCCACCTACTGGAATCTTAACTGCTTCCATGTTATGGCCATGAATGAAGTTCTCAATGGTAGAGCAAGATCTCACAGCTACTACAGAAAGTTTACATAATTGTGTTCTTTTTTCAGCAAAACAAAAAAGAAGTTACTTCATAATTGTCAAAGACCTCATCCTAGTTATCACCTGAGCAACTTTTAATTAGTATGCTGGGGGCCGCAATGCACAGAATACATAGGTTTTTCCTTGGAGCATGGAGATACTCATCCTGGTCGATACATATTATTTTTTCAACAATGATACATTATGCAGGTGTATACAAATCAGGCTTATATTGTGGATCTATAAACTGTATAGACCTAGCTAGGTTTTATAACTGAAGCTACAAAGTTCCTTCCTGATATGAATGTACTCACAACTTTGGTAGGAGTTAACACCAGGGTATGATCAGATAGCTAGTAAGTGTATTGATCAGGATCAGCAAGGATATGTTATACACAACACTAATCTATAGATTTGTGAGATCAGCTTTCCATCTTTAAAACAGAAAACTTAACCTTGCTAATATATGATAAATTTTCTATCATATTTCCTGGTATTGAACCTCCATACACTCCATCTTAAAAACATAAAACTTGACCTTGCTAATATATGATAAATTTTCTATCATATTTCCTGGTATTGAACCTCCATACACTCCATCTTTAAAATAAAAAACTTTGCTTGCATGGTAATTTTTCTATCAGATCTAGATCTCCTTGTAATAACCTTCAATAAACATTCTACCAAAAGGAAAACATGTTTATATATCACAAAGATAAATCTCAGTTTCACTGTGAAAAATATTCTGGTGAAAATTTCATATATGCTGTGGTCAGGGTTCAAAACAACCACCATCCCACGTCTTCCAAAAACAATATTTTTTGTTGCTTTTTTTTTGTTGCCACTTTTAATGCAATATTCCCCAAAAGAGGATATTTGTCATACATCAAGGAAACTAACAAGTGCTGTGAATAAACATCTGATATAGTCATAGGTTATTTACTCAACCCACCATGGTGTAGGCTTGTACATCTGGGGTACAATAACACAGCAACAATATTGACAGTGCACACATCCTGTGTGTTATTGACCAGGTCAAGTGGTGAACAGACTTTCTTCATAAAAAGGTTCCAAGTAGTTGTGGTAGGTTTACAATGGTCATTATCAGCTGTATGTTTCTACTATATCTTTACTAGGGACCCTTGAAGCACTTGTATTTACAAAACAGAAGGAAAACAGGTCCAGCATTAAAATGACCTCGTCAACAACAAACATCTAATATCTAGATGGAAAGTGACCACCTGCACTTTAAAATATAATATACAGTATGAGGACAATGAGATATCTATATTTAGTCTGATGATGTAGTAGCACCATCAGATATCTATATTTCTCCAGTCTGATGATGTAGTAGCACCATCAGATATCTATATTTAGTCTGATGATGTAGTAGCACCATCAGATATCTATATCTAGTCTGATGATGTAGTAGGACCATCAGATATCTATATTTAGTCTGATGATGTGGTAGCACCATCAGATATCTATATCTAGTCTGATGATGTAGTAGCACCATCAGATATCTATATTTAGTCTGATGATGTAGTAGGACCATCAGATATCTATATCTAGTCTGATGATGTAGTAGGACCATCAGATATCTATATTTAGTCTGATGATGTAGTAGCACCATCAGATATCTATATTTCTCCAGTCTGATGATGTAGTAGGACCATCAGATATCTATATCTAGTCTGATGATGTAGTAGGACCATCAGATATCTATATTTAGTCTGATGATGTAGTAGCACCATCAGATATCTATATTTCACCAGTCTGATGATGTAGTAGGACCATCAGATATCTATATTTAGTCTGATGATGTAGTAGCACCATCAGATATCTATATCTAGTCTGATGATGTAGTAGGACCATCAGATATCTATATTTCTCCAGTCTGATGATGTAGTAGGACCATCAGATATCTATATTTAGTCTGATGATGTAGTAGGACCATCAGATATCTATATCTAGTCTGATGATGTAGTAGCACCATCAGATATCTATATTTCTCCAGTCTGATGATGTAGTAGCACCATCAGATATCTATAACATATTTTTCATGCAACAAGTCCAAGAGGGCATTCCATTATTTTGATCAATACATTAATTGTACCATGAAATCCTTAGATGGTTTATTATGAACATGTATATGTACAGATGAGCTTTTTGCAGGCACAGGCTAATTATCCAAAAATATGTGTATATGCTGGAGATAGCTGTGTAGAGCAGTGACAATAACAGCCAGATGCAATTACTTTGACCTTGCCGATAACAACACTGCATGTCTTCAATGTATCAGACATGTAACTTTGTACTCCAAGATGTCTGCTGTATATAAACTGTCAGATGCACAGTTTTTAATCATCATGACAGCGTACCATCAAGTACCACTACCAACCTTTGACAAAAGGATCGAGATGTTTATTAGATAGACAGCCAGTAACAAAATGTTTCCTTGGGGTATCATATCACTTTCATAGAACAATGACCTGTCGAGCTCATAACCTAGCTCAAGCAGCAAAACAGAACTCCTGTAGGATACAGAAGGCAAAACAAGTCTTGCTAACTGCATGTTACATAGCTTCAAATGTACAAGTTAAAATGTCAGTCATCAATGGCAAGAGGTTTTGTAAAATCTTTGTAAAACTATCAATAAATTTATATGTACAAATTCAAACATTAAAATAGAATTATGCAACCGGAGCTTGTTGCAGATGTTTAAACTCACAAGTTTATACCCAATGTTCGCAAGTGACTGAACGGCAACAATTCTATAATTTAAGTTACATGGTATATGCCAGTTCTAGCCTTTATTTTATAAAGAAAAAGAAACACCTTCCTGGTACCTTCCTGTTTATAACAGTTTGGATGGTGTTAGCAGATTGAGATCTGGAGGAGTAGGACTTCAGCAGCAACAGTTCGAGAGAGTCTTCCACAACAGAGACAATATCCTCAAACTTGTTTCAATAAACAAGTTATTTTTAGAATACAAGAACACCAATTATAACAAACTTCATGGAGCATAATACATACATTATTTTTCACATATTACAGAGCATGCAACATTTGATTTAATTATCTACAGATTTAAAAACTTCAACCAAGTTTGTACTTTTCTTTTCGTCTACAGGTTCACTAAGTACAAAACATTTATATGAAAATTTAAGGTTTTTAAGTGATCAAGTGTATATAGCTGTTTTATGAAATAACATGAAAATAATAGTAAAAGTTGTGAGAGATTCACATTTTTTGGGGATGTATTCAAATTTATCACTTGAACTAACGAGTTATCTCGGGGAGTTTAAATAGCTAAGCCACAAAAGCTTCTACACAAAATAGTGAAGTGTTTCCTTTTGTTGATCTGTACAGCCAGTGGTGCCTGTGTTACATTCAGTACTTTCTGAGCATGATACAATACAATGGTTTCACATTACAATTTCATTTGTACCATCCACCTAATTTTAAAATGTACAGCACAGAAACAGGAGCCAAACCATGCCGTCCCTGTCTTTTCCGTGTAACTGTATCCCTCAGCATTATACGACACATGATACTTCTTAATGCAAATTCCTGTCATGTCTATGCATTGCATTTAAATTTGTAGAAGAATCGTTGCTGACCTTACCAGTATTTAATACAAAAACACAGGTAATGTACTGGCTTATGAAATGTCTTTTTCTTGACACTAGATTCAGATTGTGTAATATGTATACATCTAAAATGTACGTTGTGATGCCATTTAAAACAACCACATAGTGAATCTAGGTGTTCCTTTCTTCAGTATGACATTTGTGATTAAATAAGAGATTTTTCAGACACTGATTTACACAGAGATGTATATTTTTTTATACATGACTGACTACCAACAAGTGTTTTGTGGTTTGTCTTCACTAACTAATGTAGAATTTACTGGAGACATACAATTACCTATGGCTATTTCTCACCAAAGAATACATTGTGTCAGAGATTTGCCCAATGTAGGATCCAGACATTAGGACCAGATGCTGACTCATTCAGATTTACCTGGTTTGTGCTGTACAGCCTTCAAGCATACATCTTATTGAAGTATTTTATCCTGGCATCTTTGTCAGCCAGTGAAAACATAATACAACTCACTTTTCGTGGAGCAGAGTCCAGTTACAAAGAGGACATAATGCGTTTTATAAAATTGATAAATGGAAAGTTCTACATCATATTTCAAAGTAATGCACTTCAAAACTGCAAATCTGAAAATGAAAGTTATCGGAATGCATGCAAGGGTATGTTCACTGAATAGGGACTTCATCGTCAAAATCAAACCTGACAACATTGGTACACATGACCTTGGCATCTGTTTACAAGA